GGGGGGGGGGGGGGCGGTTTGGAATCACAGATGAGGATACTTGCTGCTTCTGGCAGGACACAAAAGTTTGGTAGCCGGGGGCCACCCCGAAGCCCAGCTGGTCAATGATGGGCGGCTCTTCCTGGTTGTGGATCTGCACTCGGATCCCCACCTCAAATGGGGTATTCCCTGCCAGGTAGGGGCCTTTAAGACCTGAGATCTGAAGATCAGGTCTCCTGCCCCAACCAGGCAAGACCTCCCACTGCAGCCCCCTCTCTGCAGAACTGGGATGAGCTGACGCTGCGCCTTTCCACATGCTTCTGGGGGCCCTCCCTGGCACTTCCTCCTCTCCTCTCCTTCTCCTAGCCTTTCGCTCCCCATCTGTGTACCCCCCCCACCTCCCACGTGTGCTCCATACCCGTGTCCTTCCACACAGGCAGATACTCTTCCTGCTGCACATCCATCATGATCTCCAGCCCATTGCCAGCACCACCTTTGGTAATGGTGAGCAGCTCTGCCCCGTTGGCACCAGAGTTAAACATGTAGCACTGCCCCATCCGGGTGAAGACCTAGGGGAAGGCAGACAGGGTGACAGTCCCAGTCTAGCCCACAGGCCATGGGACCTCTCTCTCCTCGTGCTGTGTGGCCCTCTTCTTTGAACACTAAGGCCCAATCTCAATGCCCACAGCCCTACCCTCCATGTGGGCACATGTACTTGGATCCTCTTGGGGGCCCATTGCTCCAACTCCTCCACTCCCTACCCCTCATCCCCACCAAAGCCCAGGGCACAGCCTACAGGGCAAGTGTTTCTCTGGGGACTGGAGTAAAAGGAAATGGGTCCTAGTTGCCCTCCTCTGGAACTGGCAGAATGCTGAAGAGGCAGAAGGAAAGGAAGCCCCCTCCTCCTGACAGAGAAAGTTCCATTAGGGGGCCCTCACCCCAGCAGGTCTCCACAGGTCAGACCTGGGGCCAGCCTGGGTCAGTGCCTGTGCTGGGAGGCTGGCTTTGCATGCTGCCATCCTGCTGGGAGATGGTGGGGGCGGGGGGAGGGTGGGATACCCTAGGGAGGACGATTTCCTAGGCTGAATGGAATGGCACTGGAAACTGGGAACTGTGGCCTGTGGGAAGGAAGGGATCCCCAGGCAGAGGTTCCCTGGTTTGGGGGGGGGCTGGACTGGCAAGGCTGAGGATCAAGGGTGCTGGGCAGGGACAGGGTGACCCTCTGTGTCCCTGGGTGGGATGGGCAGGGAGGCCAGCTCACCGCGGTGAAGTTCTCAGGTCCACACAGTTGGCCGCGGTAGCGGCAGTCCAGCAGCATATCATCCAGGGAGTGCCCAGCGCGGGTGTAGAGTTGTGTCATGTCGAAGGTGGGACTGGGCATGAAGCCGGGCGGAGCAGGGGGGCGGCCCAGGGCACGTAGGAAGGCAGCGTGCTCTGGGGGGTCCAGGCCCAGCAGCGCGGGCCCGGCCCAGTGCAGGTCATTGGGAGTGAGGTGTGAGCGGCGCAGCGGGTTGAGGTTGCACAGGGTAATGGCTGGGAAGGTGAGCTCATGGCTTTCCCGCTCGTCCATGGTGGTCTGGTGGTGGAACTCCCTGTAGTAGCTCACCCTCCCGGCCACCTGGTAGAGGAAGGCAGCCACCGACAGGAGCACAGCTGCAGCCCACAGCCCCCGGCGCAGGGTCAGGCCACCCGGGCCAAAGACATGGCCCAAACCGTGCAGTGTACAGCTGCTGGCGAACACACGGATGTCCGAGGCTGGCTGCCGGGCCTCCTCTGGCCCTGAGGGGGGTTTCATGGCTGGAGCCCAGGGAGGGGGACTGAGAGGACCAGGGGGCTGGTGACCAGCCACAAGGCCTTGGAAGGACTGACCAGGGTGGGAGGTGGGGGCGCTGAGATTCAGGAGGCCAGGCAGGGGGCCCCTCAGGTGAGGTGAGGAGGGGAGCAGGTGAGAGGAGCCCAGACTGAGGGGTAGGGAGGCACTGGCCTGGTTAGATTGGAGGAGGTGACCTGGCTGGTCCTGCTCAGCCTTCCTCAGGAACAGGCGGCGACTCCGCTGGGCCTGGCACTGGGCTTGGGGCTTCGCAGCGGATCAGGTAGGACACAGCTGACCATGGCAGGCAGGGGCTGCGGAGTGGTGCTGAGGCGGTGCTGAGCTGGAGTTGCCGCAGAGGATTGGGTTTCAGCAGTGAGGAGGGCAAAGGGGCTGGCAGAGCAGTCTGGGGGCGGGGGAGGTCCCTGGGGCCCCAGGCTGAGCCATTAGTGCAGCATGGGGGGGCTGTGGCTGTCAGAGACCAGAGGCGCCAGGAGGAAACCGCAGCAATTCTGGGCAGAGCTTGAGGGGAGCCCAGAGATAAGTTGGGCTGGGGGGTGCCTTCAGGGCCCTCTAGGTTCCCAGTGCATCCTGTGTGTGTAGGGCCTGAGGGTCAGTCGCTGACCTTTGGCCTGGCTCCTCCCTCCTTTTGCCTCTCTGGTCTTCCCACTAACCTCACAGCGTTCATCTGTTCTTTCATAAGGACTGGAGCTGGCTGTTGACCAAGCTGGAAAGTGGTTGGAACTTTGGTATCAGCAGATATCGTCCTTCTGTGCCTCCAGTGTCCCAGCCTACACTGGATGGCCAGGGCCTGTCTTCTGTGTCCTTCTCTCCCTAAGGAGTCAGAGTCCACCTCCCAGTACTCAGGTTCTCCTGTCAGGGAGGCTCGCCTCTACCACGATTGTGGGCTCACCTGCCACCCTCCAGGTAATGGATGTCCCATGTGCCACCCCCAGATATAATATGGGCATCCCATTGTGCCACTCCCTCCGGGAAGAACAATGGGTATGTCACCTGTCACCCTTCCAGGTGTAGCTTGGGTATCCTATGACTTTCTGTCTTACAATACGATATCCAGGACCTGGCAAGTATCCTTGTTTCCTCACATGGCAGCATACTATCTGTTATGTGCAGGCACCGTAGTTTATTTAATGACTCTCCCTATCGATGAACATTGGGGTTTCCAGTCTATTGCAACACTAGCACACAGATGTGAACTCCCAGAAAGAGAACTGCTGGGTCGAGAGGCCACTGTGTTGGTAATTTGATCAATGCCATAGAATTCCCCCTATGCTACTTGGGAGTCACGCTACTTTGCTTTCCCACCAGTGGCATGGGAGTGTGCCTGTTTTGCACGGTGCTTTTCTAAAGGAAGAGTCACTATGCCCTTGAGCCAGCATGGTATGAGAAAGCTGGCCTCAAGACAGCAAAGCCAGTATGCTATCTGACAGAAGATGCTTCCGATGGTTGGGGCGGGGTGGGCTTCTAGAAGCTGGGCAAAGCCCTCCAAAAAGCAGTTGCTGTTCCCAAGGCTTGTGCTAGTGGGTCGGAAGTGGGACAGGGGTGCCATGCTGGACCACGGCCCTGGGGATGAGCTGCTGCCCAGCTCAGGGCCACAGGGGCCAGTTCAGGAACACCTACACAGAGGACAGTCAGGGCCTGGTCCTTGTCCGTGTCAAGCTCTGTGCTTGGCTAAATGCTCGTGTGCCCCTGTGTATCTGGGAGTTCGGCGCTTCCCTGAAAACCAGAGACAAAGCAGGCTTGTTTCCATTAACTTATTTACTGAAATTTATTTCTACTCCATCTTTATCCAAAAAGCATCTGAGACCGTGAGTCTCACTTTGGTTTTTGGCTGAGTGATAGAAACATGGCTCCACCAATCAAACCTGGACACACCATGCTGCGACTGCCTGGCCACCTGCCTGTCCCAATGGGACACAGGCTTCATGGGGGCGGGGGCCGTCCTCATTCCCCATTGTAGCCTCAGCTTAATTCATACTTTGGAAGCATTGAGTGAATAATATGTTCATAACTCAGGTGTAACAACCTTCCAAGGCTAGAGCATTATGATTTTTAAGTTCTTTACTGTAGGTTATCCCATTTAAACTCTCAAAACAGACTCTCAGGATGAAGCACAGCCAGGCTTTTGACCTCGACTGGCGCTCAGGCTGTGGCGAGTGTGTGCAGCAGGCACGGCTCTTCAAGCTTGACCAGCTGTGGGGTTTCGCTACTTCCCTCATGGGTGGGAGGGAGGAAGAGGGCTGGATTCGAGAAGCTGCCCAAAGATGTAAGAGGAGACCTAGACTCTGGTGTCAGACGCATCATGGGCAGCCCGAAGATGGTGGCTGAGCCTGTGAAGTAGGAGCCGCTCTGGCTGGCTGCCCGGGGAGGAAGAGGTCAGGCAAACAAGCAGGGCTGCAGGCCGGGCAGTGCAAACTCCAGGAAGCTGAGACTTGTCTCTGGGATTCACTAGGGAGGGACTTAGTGGCAAAGTGACCTGGGGCAGCTCCACGCTCTGCTCCCTGGGCCGCCACTGCCTAGAGATGGAACCTCTGATCAGTCAGGAACCTGGATAACGAGACAGGGAGGTAGGGTCCTGAGGTTCTAGGTAGCTTGTTACCAAAGTAGCATCCGGTCCTAAACCATACACACAAAAAGGCCGAGTCCCACCCTGGCTCCTGTACTCACATCTGAGCTGCTGCTGCTGCCTCTTCCAGGGTAGCCTCCTAGCAGCAACGGTCTGTTCCATCTCTGCACTGTGCCATCACCCCTGAAAGATGGTACCGTCCTTCTTCACCAAAGGATAAATACAAAATGCTTGGCTGGCTGAGAAGGTGCAGCACAGGCACCTGCTCTGCCCATGCCCTGGGAGCAGGGCTCCACGTAGTACCATAGCCTGTACATGGCTGGACGGGGGAAGGATCCCAGTTGGAAGTACAGCAACGGTACAGGCCACTGACTCTGGGAGTAGGCAAGGAGGGCCGGTGCATCTGCAGCCACACAGGGACAGGAGATCCTGACAGCTCCTCATTCCTGGGGTGCCTGTTCAGTCTAAGGCCCTTCTCATGAGCCTTTCCAGGCCCCTCAGGAGCTGACAGCAGCATAGCTTTGGGGCTACAGGCTCATGCCACTTGGGCCGTCTGCCCTCCACTTTCAAAGTGACCTCCCAGACCACTCTAGGCAGGCCATTCTGTCAGCAGCTGCTTCTTCCTGGGTTGATTTTTGTATTGTATTTTGTATTAACTACTCTATTAGTTTTGTTCTTGTTAGCACTGTGGCCCCAATAGTTGAGAGTTCTGGGTGTGCATCTGGTCCCTCCCGTCTCCTTTGGAGCCAAGAGTTCTCTGTGTAGATGGAGGCTGGCCCACAATCTCACTGGGTGAAAGACTCCAAGCACACAGGGTACAGCCAGTGGTAGACAGTCAGGCAGGCTGGGTGCTTTTTGTGGGAATGGGCCATTCTCGTAGGAATGCATAGCCTCTCTCTCCCACCCTGACCCAAGACTCGGGCCCTGGTAGGCATCTGTCTCCTCAGGGTTGGGGAGGGGAGGTGAAATCTAGAAATCAGGGCTGTGTCAGTGGTGCAGGGAGAAGGAAGGGAAGTTGTTTGGAGGATGGGGACTGTGGGTTCCGGGGTAGGCCAAGGGGCAGCTCCCTCTCTCAGGGCCCAGAGAGGCAGTGGGCATGCAGGACTGAGAGTCAGTCTCCAGCCTGGGACTATAGGTTTGTGCCACCAAGCCCAGTCTCAGGAAGCGGGTCCTAGCAAGGGTGGCAGAAAAGCCACTCCCAGACACTTTTTTTCTTTTTGAGACAGAATGTCACTCTGTGGCTCAGGCAGAACGCAGTGGCACAATCATGGCTCACTGCAGTCTTGAACTCCTGGGCTCAAACAATCCTCCCACCTCAGCCTCTGGAGTACCTGGGACTATAGGTTTGTGCCACCAAGTCAAGTTAATTTTATTTTTTGTAGAAACGGGATCTCACTTTGTTGCCCAGGCTAGTCTTGAACACCAGGGTTTAAGCAAGCCTCCTGCAGTGGTCTCCCAAAGTGCTGAGATTTCAGGCATGAGCCACCACGTGCAGCCTGCAGACTCTGATTTTTTAAAATTCCCTGGAGCAGCGGGCCTGGCCTACTTGAGGCTGTTAGGTGGGGTGGGGAGACTAGGCTTGGGAGGGTGTCTGGGCAAAGGGAGAGTAGAGGGGCCTTGGGGAACTCTGCCTCTGCCCGTGTGCAGCCCAATAACTCTGGCAGACTCTAGCAAGAGGTAGGTAGCTGGCAGGACTGGGGAGGGGGTGGGAGGGAGCCTGGCCTCCCCAGTGAGCCACTAGGATCAGGCTTTATTGTGATTCAGTGGCAGCCAACATGCAGCTTGCTGGGTCTCCTGGAGGCTCAGGCCCTGGTGAGCTCCCCACAACTGAGCCCCGGACCTCTGAGGGTTCCTATCAGGACTTGTGCCAGTGGTTCCTGGGGCCTTTCAGCTTCTCAGGAGGTGGGTCCACCAACTGCGGGGCATCCAGGGCCTGTCTCCGGATGAGCTCTGCATACAGGCCACCTTTCTTCAGGAGCTCTTCGTGGGTCCCAGCCTGGAAGATGGGAGGGAGAGGCAGATGGTTGCTCCAACCCAGCACAGACTTCAGCACACTAGAAGGGCTGGTCTTCACTTAAGCCTGTGTCCCTTCTGGTGACACTTTGAAACCCAAGCCCAATCCGAGAGGAAACGCCGCTGACAGGCTGCATTAGTGCCTCTTCCCTGCTTAGCTGAATTTTGGAAGAACATGATTCCCCCTCCCCCTCTAATGGAGCCCAAGGCTCCAACTCAGGACTCAACACCCCATGTGAGCCCCTCAGCCTTTGCTTGAGCCAGTGGCCAGGGACTGTGAGCAAGCCCCACACAACCAGGGTCCTGTTCCTGATTGCTCTCCCATCAGGGTCCCTGTCACTGCCTCTTTTGCACCTCAGCCAGCCCTGTCCAACCCCAACTCCCAGCACCATACACTTTTCAGTACTTTTCCAGATACTTTTCCTTTTGATCCTAGGAACCGAGGGTACAGTTATGCTATCCCAGGAGACACAGGAAGAAAATGAGGCCCTGAGAGGCCAGGGTTTGCCTAAGGGCAGGAACTTCTGACTTCATGTGGGATGCTGCTTCCAGAATATGGCCCAGGGCCAGGCCAGATCCTTATAGAGCTTAGTGGAGCCGCCATGCCACTGTCCATGGCTGAAGTCATCCTAACCCACTGACTCCTCTCCCAGGTCCAGACTAACCTCCCAGACATGGCCATCAGCCATGACGATGATGCGGTGGGCCCCGCGGACAGTGCTGAGCCGATGGGCAATGACCAGCACTGTGCGGCCTGCACTGGCCCGGTCTAGGGCCTCCTGCACAACCTGCTCAGACTCTGCATCCAGCGCGCTAGTGGCCTCATCCAGGATTAGCACCGTGGGCTGCTTGATGAGAGCACGGGCAATGGCCAGGCGCTGCTTCTGGCCCCCAGACAGGGTGGTGCCTCGCTCACCTGGAGACAGAGGGGAAGGGCAGGGGTCTGAAGCCACCCTCAGCTGTACACTTGGGGGTGGCTTGAAAAGGGGCACCAAGTCCTTCCTGAGTTTCCATCTGGACCCTCTAAGTGCCCCCCCGGCACTGTGTACTTGCTTTGCCCCTCTGAGGGTGGAGTGATACCTGCCAGCTGCCCAGTCCCACATTCCTGTGCTGATGAGTGCCCGCAAACACAAAACAACACAAGTCATGCAGGTAGCAGGGCTCAGCACACCAGGAGTTGCCAAATGCTCCTCCGTGGCAGGGCCTCAGAGTCAGGAAAACTCATTCCCCACCCTGTGCCTGCAGCTCCAGCCTCCTTCCTGGCCTCCAGGTCTCCACTGCTGTGGGGGACACCCAGCACTCAAACATGGGCTTCTGGAGTGTGGTGACTCCAGGGAGGTGAGATGTGAAGCTCACAGAGGATACACAAGTGGCAGCCTGTAGCCACAAAGGACCTCAAGGTGATGGCAGGGTCACAGGCTAGCAAGGAGGTAGCCCTGAGATGCCCTAAATGAGCGGGGAGCATTGTGAGGATCAGAGGGACTAGGAAATGCCACCCGAGAGCTGAGGGAAAGCTCCGGGTCAGGACAGTATCTGAACGGCATGGAAACTCAGCTAGGTCAGCAGTCCAGAAAACAAAGGATGGGCCATGGACAGTGCTGTCACAACTCGGGAGGCTGAAGCCCAGTGGGACTGACCAAAGTTGAGAAGCCCAGATATTCCTGCATCCTGAGATATGCCAGAACATTCTACGATGGAGCCAAGATATTGGATGATAAACATGGCCCCAAAGGCTGAAACAGGAAGATGTGTGAGCTAAACACGTACAGCAGTAAGCTGAATGCCCTGTAGGGTGCCTGCATTCAGAACCACTAGAGCCTCTCCCGGGAGGTCAGGGGTGAGGTCTGCTCATCCCAGTCATCCCTGAGAAGCACCTTTGGAGAAGGAAAGCACAGTGATGAAACAAGAGCCAGAGCAGGGATGAACAGTTATGAGGTGATAATCCACCACTTCACCTGTTCAGTCTGGGGAAGTGGCAGCCTTTCAGTGTGAAGATCCATGAATCACTGTGTCTGTGGCCAGGCTCTTGTCCCATGTTCCCAGTCATGTTCTCTAACTCTTCCTGGGGCCCTTCCTGCCGCTTGGTCTGCTGTGCCTGAACCACATGGGCTGGGACTCCTCTGCCCCCACAAAACTATCTCTGTTCCCCTTGGCTATAGTTCTGGTCTTCCCTGACACAACTGTTTTTCTCCCCAGCTGTCCCTGCTCCCTTCAGTCCCAGAGAGCTGCTCACTATTCCTGCAGAAGCCTGTTTCCGATGCCTCACTGCCTGGACCCTGAAGACCCAGACAGGATTCCTGTCCCTGGACCTCACCGACAACAGTGTTGTAGCCCTCGGGGAAGCTAGTGATGAACTCATGGGCATTGGCTTCCCGTGCAGCTGCATACACCTCTTCATCAGAAGCTTCCAGCTTCCCAAAACGGATATTCTCCATGATGGTAGTTCCAAACAGGACAGGTTCCTGGGAGAAGAGTATGGAGATGGAGCCCACAGAAACATTCTGACTTGGTCCTAGAACCCCCGAGGGGCTGTCATATACATCAGGAGAGTCTATTCTGACTAGACAGATTAGGATTGCTTGGAGAATCAGAAGTACAAAGTCAGAAGTCAAGCAAGGGCCCAGAATGGCCTATTAAAGGAAAGGAGAGGCTGAGTTCCCATCAAGGACCCAGAATCCCTCAGCAGGAGTAGGAGTGTGGCTGGGATAGCAAGGCCCACGCCTGGCAGAACCTTGGGTGGAGGAGGTGCTTGCATTTGGCTTTTTTGGGCTCATGGGCAGCTCTCCCAAGGGCTGGTTGGCATGCCCTCTTTATTTGTGGGTCCACCAAGGGAAGAGTGGACCCTCACTGGGCAGTGACACACCAAGCAGAGGGAAAGCAGCTGGAAGCTCAGTGCTCCAGGCTGAAATGTGGGTCCTGCTGGCCACCAGCAGTCCCAGAAATCCTACAGCAGGCTTCTCTGGACCAGGTTGCTACAGGTTTTGCAGAGAATGCCTGAGAGCCTAACACCCCCCCCCCGACATAGACTGCTTTAAGATGGGAAGAAAGCATTTCTGCCCTAGGAGACAGGGCAGTCTGCGGCTGTTCTCAGGATGCTTCGACCCAGACAATAGCTGGGGACATGTGAAGAAGGTCAGGGGCTTCCAGAGAGGAGCGGAATGACGAGGGTGGGAAGGAAAGAAAAGGCAGCTAAGGACTGAGAGGAGCAAGGCCTGGGAAAGGATGGGGAGTGGGGAGCTAAGGCCCACCCTTGTGGCCTCGTACCTGGCTGATGAAGCCAACCACCTGGCCCCGGAGCCAGGAGGGGTCGAGGGTGCGCAGGTCCTGCCCGTCTAGCATCACCACACCCGCTGTGGGGTCGTAGAAACGCTCCAGCAGGGAGGCCACGGTGGTCTTTCCTGGGGAATTGGGTAGTATGGGAGGGAGGGAGGGAAGCAAGGGTTTCTAGAGATTGCTCCAGAAAGAGGGTCCCTGGGAGGGGCTCACTGCTCTAAACCCACTCTCAGTGGCTGCCAGAGGAAGAGATTCAGAGGGTGGGTGGGCTCCTCTTACCTCCCCCAGACTGGCCCACGAGGGCCACGATCTTGCCAGGGGGCAGCGTCAGGGTGAAGTCTTTGAGCACCTCGAAGCCAGGGCGGCAGGGGTAACTGGGAGGAGCCAAGAGACCCCCAGTAAGACCAGGTTTCTAGCCCGTGCTGCCCTGGTCCCTCCTGAAGTCTTACTGTAGCTGCTGAGGGAGCCTGCTTGTGGGGGGTATCAAGCCAGCTCCCCTCGCCCCTGTCCTCAGCCCAGAGAGCCCACCCTGCATCCACTCCCCAGTGCTGACCTGAAGCAGACATTCTGAAATGTGACAGCGCCTTGCAGGTGCTCCTTGGGGATGCAACAGCCCCCAGACAGTGGGATGCAGGGGCTCAGGGCCATGTACTCAAAGACCCGGGTACCTGCACTGAGCCCCCGTACTACCTGTGGGAGGAAATCCAAAGTCTGCAGGAAGGTGGCAGCGGGGGCAACTATAGCATCTCCCAGACAGTGAGACTCTGGCTTGGGGCTCAAGTCCTCCCTGCTCCTCTTGCCGCCACCTAGCAGTCAACAGGCAGCTCCCACAGAGGCACACAAATGGCACTGTGACTGTGGGGCTCCACACCTCAGCCTCCCTACCCCACCACTCACCTGACCAAACAGGACAGAGAGGTTGGCCATGGACCTGAGAGGAGAGAGGGTTAGCAGAGGTGAGGACAAGAGCCAGAGAGCAAGAGAAGGAAGCCACGGTGGGAGGCAAGCAAACAGGTGGCCTGTGGCTAAACGCAGACACTGCTCCTGCAACATGGAACTGCAGAGCTCTTAGATCCAGCGACACCAGATCACTGAGCCTTGGTGCCCTCTTTGGCTGGATGAAGAGGACAGCTGTCCGTCAGCTCACACCAGGACCCGGGAATTGCTCCAGGAGGAAAGGGCCTCCGGGGATGTCCTCCACACTTTTCTGGCCTGTAGTCTGCAGGGTGAAGCCAGCGTACAACACACAGGGATAACATCAGTCCATAAGGAAGGGAGACCACTTCTGATCCCATGACCTCCCTGCCTTGACCCTGATGACACAGATGCTGTGGTTAATGGAGACCAAGGTTGTGTGGGACATCAGCTCTGATGCCACCGACACCTGGGAAAGCACTGACTTACACTTAAATTAAGGTAGAAGAAATTTACGTTAAATCTAATCAGAGAAAAAAGATAACAAAACATACTGGGCCACAAGGGGAACTCTGGGGAGACCCCAAATCAAGATTCCTTGAAAAAACTTTTGTCATTTGTACCACCCAAAGCTGTTGAAGTAAAATAATAGTAAGGCCAAGCACAGTGGCTCATGCCTTTAATCCCAGCACTTTGGGAGGCTGAGGCAAAAGGACTGCCTGAGTCTAGGGGTTCGAGTCCAGCCTGGGCAACTTGGCAAGACTTGTCTCTACAATTAATAAAAGAGCCGGGCTCGGTGGCTCAGCCTGTAATCCCGCGCCTTTGGGAGGCTGAGGTGAGTGAATTGCCTG